TTGTGTTTGTTTTCAGATTCTCTTTTTTACCAATTTTAAGAATTATACTGTGCAGGCATCTACCAGTTGTGTCAGCACATAATAATATTATTATCAAGCATATTCTATATCACCCTTTCCTTTCGCTGTTGTTAATTTACACCACATGCATCTCAAATTGGTTTAAGTTCCTCATAAAAGGAGCAAAATATATATCCTACATGAAACTGCCAATTATAATATGACAGAAGTTCATTTTCAAACCAAAACTTTCATCGAATGGCTTTATACATTGACACAAGTTTTGTTGCCAAGAAGTTTTTACTAGCATATAAATCCATTTTTACCGACAGTTGTTTCGTTACAAGAACTATCAAAACAACTAGATCCTTAACATAGATCAAAATAGTTTTAGTTTACCCCTTCCTCTTTCGACGAGCTTGCATTTTTATTTTGTAGAAGAACTTTTTGTAATAATTACTTCAGGCTAACTTCCTCTAAAATCATTTTTAATCAGACAAAGTACTTTCATAAAATTACCCAAATAAGTTTAAAAGTAGCTTTTTAATTTTATAAATAACAATTGACATTTTAAAATCCCTACCCACTAGCCCATGATGAACTAAAATATTTTAAAATGGAGGTATGACCAGAAATGATTGTTAGTTGGAGCATCATGCCAATGAAAAGTCAACTGCTAAACACCTAGATTAAAGATAAATGTTGTGTCCCCTCTTCTGGACCTTACCAATGGCTGCATGAATGGGATAAAACCAATAATTTGAGCATAGAAAGGAGCCTTATGTCCTTGAATTAGGATTCTATAGAGACAAATATCATGATGACATAACATAGCAAAACGAGATCATGTCAAAGATAGTTGCTTCCTCAGAGTAAAGAAAAGACACTTTTTCACATCAAGAGAAAGCAAACCAAACCGGTCAACATTTTAGTTTAACTACCACAAGAAACATAATGCTGACTCTAAAAGACAACAGTGTCCAACATAGTTGCCAAAGTCTGAATAATGTTTGAAGACATCAAGTTCTAGACATGCTCCTCGATATGCTTCTTTGCGTCTTGCCTTTCCTCATTAGCAACAGTTAGCATTTCTGGCGGCAACTCATCTTCTTCCTGAATTGCTGTTATATTTGATTAGTAAAGTAAGCATCTCCTGCACAAGTGATGCCAAAAATTTCGACTTGCTTCAATTAGAACAGAGAGGAAAAGAAATCATGTTATGTTCAAAGTTTTATTTGGTCATAACATGGGAACCTCCCAAAAATATCATCTTTAGAAAAAAAAAACAAACAGCTGTCGCGGAAATACGTTAACTAATATAATATATACAGTTCGTGACGACATAATCCCTGATAAATATTAAGGATCCTCGATGTCCAATCAACATCTTCAGTAGCTACTTCACAACAAAGAAGCTACATTTATGCGACAAGTAAATGCGCTCAGAAAGATATCTGAATATTTATCGAAGTAGAATATAAGAAGTGCTAAAGTTAATCAAACGCCATTATTTTCCAAATCTCATCTCTCAAGAGTAACCAAAAATGTAACAACATAAAGCTAATCATAGTCTCATAACAAATTGTGAAGGCTTGTTTTTTTAACTAAGAATACAAGCCTCTGGAAGGTCCATAGTCCATACTGGTAATAGAATGAAACCTCAAAGCATCGCCATTGCATTTCAGAATCCACCATCCTCACATGGTGGATCTGCAATATAACAAAGTCTGGAATTTCAGGAAAAAATGTCCCAGTAAAACTTGTGCACTAGAAAGAGCCGGACTGCAATTCGAATTATATCAACAAATTTCCCACTGTGCTAGAAGAAAAACACAATTTCAGTACAAATACCCAAAGGACGCAGAAAACAATAGCTAATGCATTTGCTTTAGAGGGAAGCCATAATCGTAATAACACTTCTTCCACCTGACCATTTATTAATGACTGATGTAGGAGCTAACCAGTTTCTAAAAGTTCAATCACTTATTAATACATATAAAATTCTCAGTATATTTTATATAAAGGGGACTTTAGAAAAGTATTTTATATTCATAGTTAGTTAAAGAATTAATGTATATAGTCCAAGCAGGTTATTATAAAATGTTCACATGTGAATATCATATCAAAAAAATTTATTTTTAACTTAAACTATGGGAATATTTTAATGTCAGCCATATTCCATTCAAGCCTTTGGCAACAGCTAAACACTTATACACGGTCCATGTTTGCCATTAAGCACAGGTAGCTCAGGGGAATATGCCACAGGTTGAACCTCAAAGCATGGCATGAAAACAGGAAGTCAAATTATTTACAAAAATTCTGTTGGGTCAAGGCCAGCAATGTTGGGGGGAACCATCAAACCTGACAACAGAAATTATTTCTTTTTTTCATACGTCCATGGCAACCAGCTAGAACATAGTCCCAGCAGCAACCACAAAACGTCAGACCCGGGCAAATCCCAATATACCTGAACTGTCAGCTCATTTGTTTTGGTATGGGCGTCAAACTGCCGAAGAGTCCATCTGTCTGTTCATTTCTTCTTGTGAAGATTAAAGAGCATCTTCTCCTCAAGTTCATTCTTCCTGTAGTCTATGTTAAGACTTGGGGTTCCATCTAAAAAGGTCAATCTTGTTAAGAGGAGTATCCCAAAACCGTATAAGTTGGCCTATATTTTCATCTTTTATCGAAGTGAAATTTTTATCCTTTAACATGCCTCCACAAGATAGTGACTCATTTGATTAGACCAATCTTGAAATTCGTACGATCATTTATTGAGATTTAATTGGATCAAATCGAGTATTAGAGTTTAATGAACTCTGATACCATGTTTCAATGATAAGCAGATTTCTTTTATTCCACCTTGTGTAATTACATTGAATAAGTTACATATAAATAGGAGGACTATACAACCAAATTTAAGCTATACAAAATTGGTGCCAAGAATTGTGGTTGACCCCTTGATTAGGGGAATTTACGCTGAGTTTCCTATTTTAATTTATAACAGCTCATGCCAACAGTTTATGGCTATAATAATGCCGGTTCAAACAATGAATCAAAGCCTGTGCAGCTGCCTTCGCAGCTGCAATAAGCATCTTATTGTGTGTCCTAAGTGGGTAACATTAAAGAAACCGAAGTTGGGGATATTGAGTTCAGTTTTGGATCGGTTATCTTGAGGCGTGTGATTGTTGGATTTCATACTGAGCCCTAAAAATACCATTGGTGATCAAGTCTTCCGCTACACATACAATATGAAATGGCAACTGAGGACGCTAGAGATACACAGATCTAAATAAAAATTGACTGAACAGTGAACAATTGATAGTGGGAAAATTAAGTAGCAGACTTTCCAACTGTCTGTGTATGTCATAAATTCATTTCTCCAGCCAAACTGAGTAGTGTCAACAAAAGTGTGAGGATAAAACCCTAATATTTACTTTTTCCAACAACTTACCCTACCTTGTGGCTATTGGCCAATATCAAACGCCGCTCCGGTCACCAGCCACAATAGAAGACAGTAATATATAAAAAAATAAAAAAATGTGTACATCAGAAGCACATGGTTTCTTGGAATACCTAACTAGATAATACCATTAGAAATAAAAGATACCAATAATGGTTATATGGCAGAACACATATGACGTCTTCTATCAAGTTGCCTTATGATTTACTTAACAATGCTCTCAACCTCACATGGTATCATTTTTAACAAGAAAAAGCAGAGAAAAATATATGAAATGCTCAACCACAAAAAGATGGATATAACCCAAAAACAAAAATGTACAAGAATATACCTTCTTAAGCACAAGGTTATAAAATTAAAATTTGGTTGACAATAGAAAACCAAAATTTCACAAAATCTCAGTCTCCTTCTCTTATTAGTTGTACCTCATGATTTTTTACATACTTAACATTCTGGTCTAACAGACCAAAGGTAAAATAGATAACAATAAGACAAATTTTTGAATTTGTAATTACTTGTTACCTTCATTTAACAGCATCACTCGGTTCTTTTCTGGTTTAATAGAATCATGGAATTATTGATAATCAATCCCATGGTGCAATATTGTCAATTCCAAAAAAATGATCAAAGGTAAATAACCAGGTTCAGTAAATAGTGGCTAAGGGTAGAATGGAAATGACTTCTTGAAAGAATATAATAAACAAAATAAAAAGGCTGCGAAAATTTGTACAATATTTTTTCACGAAAAGCAGACATGAGATATGAAATCCATCCTTTGACTAAGATTTCAAATAGCGGTTGCGAATTCAAGTTGTATCATTGAAGATGTAAAAAATTCCAAGTGCAAGAACAGGTAACTATAGATTGAATATTCAATGATACAGAAAGTAACATCACAAGTTGGAGCAGTGCAGAATTAATGACGATGGAGTACCAACCTGCTGAGTATTGATGTCAGTGCCAAAAAGCCAACACCCAAANATCAAAGAGAACATAATGAAAGCGGAAGCGTACCTTGATCCATAAATTGTAATTGATTTTGTTCGGGTTATGATCTTCCAACTATAACGTGATTTCCTTTGAAATTCTTGAAAAACTCTCTGTTGATGGGGATCCAGAGAATCTAGAAAATTTCATGTGCAGTTGGGGACCATGACCCCATGATAAATAACTGCAGGTAGTTATCATTTTTTATTTGTTTTAAATTGACCCCTCATCAATTTAAAACAACCAATCGGTCTCTACACTTTAATCACATAACACTTAATACCAATAAGTCCAAAATTAAACCCGATGGATCACTTTAATGGATTAAAAACTTTAAGATAGCAACACACATTTTAATTTATGTGGCCCCTTATATGTTGGAATTTTCCAACAATCTCCCATTGGGCCATACATGTAATCTTTTAAATGTGCATAACCTTATGAGCTCAAAATTTGCTATCATTATTAAGGGTATTTCCAAAAAATCTCGTCCATTAGTCATATTGATGTAGGATCAAAGCGATTGTCGTCACATTTAGCGTGACTAAATCCATCGATGGTCATTTACACCCATACAACCAAACGACATAGATCAATCATGGGAGCGTAGTATGGAAATTACATGTTATGTGATCCAAACATGTCTATTTCCAACTGGTCCAACCTTATTTCTTAAGTGAGATCAATACTGAATATAATAACAGAGTGAAATGAACTGAATACTTTATTTCTATATAGAAAAATATCCAAATACACAAATGTGTCCAATTAAATATAAAGCAATAAGAATACAAACTCCCACTAAAACACGATATCCTCAATAAATTTGACACCCATACGAGTAGTGTGCTCATGAAAGACCTTGGGTGACAATCCCTTAGTAAGCGAATCCGCAATCATGGAGTTCGTCCCAATGTGCTCTATGAAAATTTGTCCACTCTGTACTCTTTCCTTCACGATCAGGAATTTAATGTCAATGTGTTTTGACTTAAATGTGCTTCTATTGTTGTTGGAATACAGAATTGTCAAGTTATTGTCACAATATAACTTTAGTGGTCTTTCTATGCCATTCAGAATGCGCAGCCCAGTGAAAAAGTTTCGCAGCCATATTCCTTGGTTAGATGTCTCATAGCATGCTACAAACTTTGCAGCCATGGTAGAAGAAGCTATGAGTGTCAGCTTAGCACTCTTCCAGGAAATAGCTCCTCCAACTAGTAGATAGATATAGCCTGATGTGGATCTTCTACTGTCTTGGCATCCAGCAAAATCAGAGTCGAAGTACCCTATGATCTCCAACTAATCCGATCCGTTATATGTGAGCATGTAATCCTTTGTTCTCTTTAAATACCTCATAATCCTTTTAGCTGCTTTCCAATGATCCATTTCAGGGTTGCTTAAATATCTACCTAGCATTCCAACAATAAATGTTATGTCTGGACGTGTACAAACTTAAGCATACATTAAACTCCCAATAGCTGATGCATAGGAAATCTTTTGCATTTTCTTAACTTCAAGGTCATTTTGCGGGCATTGTTTGAGACTAAATTTGTCTCCCTTAGCGACAGGGGTGTCACCTGGTTTGCAGTCTTGCATACCAAACCTCTTAAGTACTTTATCGATATAGTTCTTTTGTGACAATCCAAGAATACCTCGAGAACGATCTCGACGTATCTGAATCCCTAATACAAAAGAGGCGTAACCAAGATCTTTCATCTCGAAATTCCTTGATAGAAATCCCTTGGTTTCGTGCAACATGTCTATATCATTAGCGGTAAGCAGTATGTCATCAACATATAAAACCAGGAAAATATGCTTACTCCCATTGAACTTGTGATACACACAATCATCAACAGCATTCATCTCAAAACCAAATGAGATAATTACTTGATGAAATTTGTGGTACCATTGACAGGAAGCTTGCTTGAGCCCATAGATGGATTTCTTTAATTTGCAAACCATATTCTTCGGTCTCCAGACACAAAGTTTTCTGGTTACACCATATAGATCGTCTCGTCAATGTCGTCATTGAGAAACGCCATCTTAACATTCATCTGATGTAACTCAAGATAAAATGCGCAACAAGTGTCATAATTATCCTGAAAGAGTCTTTCGTTGAAACTGGAGAGAAAGTCTCTTTGAAGTTGATGCCTTCCTTTTGGGTAAAGCCTTTAGCCACAAGACAAGCCCTATATCTTTCCACATTTCCTTTCGAATCCCTTTTGGTTTTAAAAATCCATTTGCAACCGATGGGCTTCGCACCTTCTGGTAACGGGACAAGATCCCAAACTTTATTGTCTTGCATAGATTTATACTCCTCATTCATGGCATCAATCCACTGTCGAGAGTTAGAACCCTGCATGGCCTGATGGAAATTGATTGGATCATCTTCCATCATTCCATCATTTTCCTCATGTTCTTGGAGAAATACTATAAAATCATCCGCAATAGCATTTTTCCTTTCTCTCGTGGATCTCCTTAATGACATTGGTTCTTGGGTTGTACTTCTGAAATAATTACCTCATTTTGGTTGGGAAGTTCTTCAACATTGTCTTGTTGAGGTTTTGGATATACTTCTTGACCAATGACACGTATAGAAACCTGTACATTGTCAAAAGCAGTAGTAGGAATCAAAATCGATCCTTCCTCAACTTCTTTCTCAAAGATAATGTCTCTAACCTTATTTCTCCTCCCAAACTCAATATCCTAAAAAAATGTTGCAGTTCCCATTTCAAAAATTGACTTAAGTGTGGGATCATAAAATTTGTAGCCCTTAGATCGCTCAGAATAGCCAATAAAATAGCTGTTTACTGTTTTGGAGTCCAATTTCTTTTCATGTGACCTATAAGGCCTAGCCTCAGCTGGACATCCCCAAATGTGAAAATGCTTTAGACTAGGGTTTCTACCTGTCCAAAGCTCATAAGATGGTTTAGCAGCAGCCTTAGTTGGTACTCTGTTCAGAATATAAGCTGCAGTCTTTAATGCCTCTTCCCAGAGTGATTTTGGTAAGTTTGAATGACTAATCATACTCTTTACTATATCCTTAAGAGTTCTGTTTCGTCTTTCAACTACACCATTCATGCTTGGCCATCCTGGCATGGTGTATTGTGGGACGACTTCACATTCCTTTAGGTATTTGGCAACTGATCCCGAACATTGTTCACCTAATCCGTCATATCTGTCGTAGTACTCACCACCACATCAGATATAACGCTCTTTATCCTTTTGTTGAGTTGATTTTCAACCTCACTTTTAAAAATTTTGAACATGTCTAGTGACTCAGTCTTTTCATGAATAAGATATAGGTACCCATAACGTGAGTAATCGTCTATGAATGATATAAAATATTGTTGACCATTCCAATAAGTCGTAGGGAACGGTCCACAAATATCTGTGTGTATCAATTGTAAGACATCCGAAATTTTGTTAGCACCTAATCTCTTTATTTTGGTCTATTTTCCCTCGATACAATCAATACATACATCAAAATTCGTAAAATCAAGGGAATCCAAAATACCATCGAACACAAGTCGTTCAACTCTAACTTTTGATATGTGACCTAAGTGCTTGTGTCATAATTTTGTTGAATTTTATTTATTTAATATGCGTTTAGTACCACATGATTCCACATACAAGGTTTCATTATATGATGCAATAATATCAAGCAAATATAGGTTATAATATGTAGATAACGAACCAGTACCAATAACATTTGAATTTAACAAAAGACTAAACTGATTATTTCCAAATGAACAACAATATCCAAATTTGTCCAACGAAGAAACAAAAATTAAATTCCGTCTAAAAGACGGTACAACGAAAGTGTCTTTCAAATTCAAATAATAACCAGTTCTTAATAACAACCTAAAAGTGCCAATTACATCAACTTCCATTGATTTGCCATCACCCACATAGATGTATCTTTCACCATCATTTGGCTTTCGCTAGTTCAGGCAGCCCTACATTGAAACACTTATATGAGTAGTAGCACAAGAATCTATCCATCAAGTGTTTCTAGGTACCGAAGCTAAATTATCCTCAGAATAGACCAAAGCAAGAATTGTACCTTTCTTTGCACGCCAATCGCGATATTTGGCACAATCCTTCTTCACATGTCTAGTTTTGTTGCAAAAGAAACAAGTTTCTTTGTCTTCCTTTTTTTTCTTTTGTGCTTGGTCCCTTATGAGCAGCTTCATATTCCTTCTCTTTTTCTTGCACTTATCCTTAGAAGTGCTTGCCAACTGAGCACTAACAGTTTCTTGCTTCAACCTTTCTCTCTTGTATACAATATGAAATGAGCTCATTTAGAGATCATTTCTCCTTCTGACAGTTATAACTGACCTTAAATTGACTGAATTGTGCATGAAGCGAGATAAATACCAAATGGACGAGCAAGTCATCAGACAACTCTAGCTTTAGTCCTTTAAGTTTTGAAGCAATGTGAGATATCTTCATGGTGTACTCTCTTATGTTCCCCTTGCCTATATACTTCATTGAAATCAAGCTCTGCAAAAGAGTGCTTGTTTCAACCTTATCGTTTTTCGCAAAACGCTTCTCAATTTCAGCAAGGAACTCCTTGGCATTAGATACCTCTTCGGTATCTGCACCTCTAAAGGCCTCCGGAATGCCGCGCTTAATGATTATTAGACTCATGCGATTTGAGCGATTCCACTTCTCAAAGTTCCTCTTTTCATCAGGTGAGCTTTCTTCCGTAAGAGGAGTGGGTTGCTCGATCCGAAGAGCAAAGTCTAGATCTATGCAGCCAAGAACAATCAATATGTTCTCTTTCCAATCCTTGAAGTTTGTCCCATTAAGTATGGGAATAGAATTAATATTGGCAGATATAGTAGCAAATGAGCTAGCTGTAGAGAGAACAAAATTAAAAAAAAAAGATTAATTATGCTCGATTTAATAGCCACATTTAATAATTGATAAATTCAAATAATGGTAAATTCCATCTCAAGATACCTAGTGCAACATTAATATCAAGTCTTTG